CCCCGCTTCCAGCGTCCAGTTTCGCTTTAGCGCGGGCCCTGTCGAAGACTCGAAACAAGGTGCGTCCCCTTGGGGTCGCCGCCTCCCTTCCCGGCCGGATACCTGCCTGCGAGGGCTGAGCTTGCCCCGGTTTTGCTCCAGGGTGGGCCCCAGGCCGGCACACAGTAGGCGCTCGGCACTACGGGTGGAATGCATGGATTTAACCCGCATGGCTCAGTGGAGCAGGCGCCCAGCTTCTCTCGCGCCACAGCGTGAAGGGCCTGGCAGACCTCAGGCTCCGCGCGAGAGGCAAGACGCAGAGCCTGGGCTGCGGGGCTGGTTCCGCGGGTGGCGATGCGCAGGCCCACAGATCTGCGAGGACAGTTCCTGATGCCCGGGCCTGGGAGTTGGGGCCAATGGGGAGGGCTGCCAAAGGACCTGGGATTGATGGGGGGGTGATGGAAATGTTCTGATCGTGTTTTTGTGTTGTGTTTAGAGACAGGACCTGGCTCTGCCACCAGGCTGGGGTGCAGTGCCGCAATCGGAGTTCACCTCAGCCTCAAACTCCTGGGCTTAGGCCATCTTCCCCCCTCAGCCTCCCAAAGTGCTGGGACTGCAAGGTGAGCCACCGTGCCCAGCCATGAGATCAGATGATGTTGATAGTTGCACGACTCTGAATATGCTAAAAACCATTGAATTGTTTGATTGCTTGATTGAATCGGAGCCTCACTTTGTCGCCCAGGCTGGAGTGCAGTAGCACAATCACAGCTCACCGCAGCCTTGACCTCCTGGACTCAGATGATCCTTCCACCTCAGCCTCCCCAGTAGCTGGGACTACAGGTGTCTGCCACCATGCCCAGCTAATTTTTTTAAAAAAATTTTGTAGGGATGAGGTCTCACTATGTTGCTCAGGCTGGTGTCTCAAACTCCTGGGCTCAAGTGATCCTCCCACCTTGGCCTCTCAAACTGCTGGGATTACACGCATGAGTCACTGTGCCCAGTCATTTTTCTTACTTTTTTAAATTTTCTTTTTTTTTTTTGAGTAGGAGTCTCACTTTGTCTCCCAGGCCGGAGTACAGTGGCACGCTCACGGCCACCGCAGCCTTGACCTGCTGGCCTCAGGTGATCCTTTCGTTTCAGCCTTCCAAGTAACTGGAACTACAGGAATGCACCACCATACCTGGCTAATTTTTTGATTTATTGTAGAGATGAGGTCTCACCAAGTT